TAAAAGGAAGACAGCAGTTACAAGATCCTTAATGTTTATCTCTCCTTCCAGGGGGAGATTGTGCCCCAGCAGCTGAGACCATGGAGAAAACAGGGAAACTAATTCATCTTAAGCACAAAGGTAATAGAAACTTTCTAGGGTTTATGCAGGAGTTTATTTGCATGTTGGTTTAGAAAAGAATTTTCTGTGCAAGGACAAGAACTTTTTGGCTAAGCAAAGAGTGCAGGTTCTGTACTGTAACTGAAGATACTGTGACAAAATGAGGGAGGGAAGGGGAGCTGTACCCTTCTGGAATACTTAATTGCATTGGTATAACTGGCTGTTGTCATTGTTTCACAGCACTACCACCAGTTTATGCTGTTGCCCTAGCTAAGAAAAGTGCCAAACAGATTCACATCCATAACCTGAGGGGAAGGCGATCCTGCCACAGTCACCTGTACAGTCCTGGAGGATGGTTACTTCTGTCCAGACACACAGTGAGAGCTCAGCAGAATGATACTGAGAACTGTGATATTGCCTCTGGTAAGGGCTGGTTTTCAGACCATGAAAATCTGAAGCTTAAATTTGTGAATGAAATCGAAACGGGGCCATGAGGATCTGACCAGGAACTGATGACTACAGTTTCAAAGGGTGTTGAAGCAGCTTTTCCTCCTATTTGACTGTGTCACACTATTTAGCCTTCTTCTTGCTAGTTGTTAGGATGAAATTTCTTTCCTGTCTTTTCCCATATGTGAAGAAGCTTGGGAACACCTTGCCTTAATCTCATCTCAGTTTTCTTTACTCAGCTTATCAGAATTACTTTTGGAAGGGCTGCATGCCAGGAGCAGATGGAAGCCTGTGCAAGGTGTGCATTGGAGATGGTGAGGTGGAAGGAGCTCGAGTGTCCAGCAGATGTGCTGCAAGTCACAATGAACGTTACTATGGAAATATGGGAGCACTCAGGTGAGCTTTTTGTGAGAGTCAGAAATGCAGAGCAACAGCCAGAATTGCCTTATTATTTTGCTGGTTTTTGGAAGCTTTTTTTCCCCCTATTTGTTAAGTGTCTGTCTGTATAAACTTCTGCTAGTGTATATTTTGTTTTGGTTGCAGTTGCTATGGGATGTTCAGCTGACTGATGGTTTAAAATGGTCATTAAACCATTTCCAGAGGAAGACAATGCTTCCAAACATGTACAGCTCAGAGCATTGGTACTGACTCATTAAAGGGAAGGGATGCAAGAAGGGCAGAGGTGCTCTGGTAAGAAGCAGTGTAGCATACAGGAGATGATTAAATAGAGTACAGATTGAAAAAAAATAGTTGCAGACAGAGGCAGAGAAGACTATTAAAGGTGAAACTTATGAAAGTTTATGAAAGCACTCTTATGAAATGTACATAATGTGTTTAGTTGAATTCCATTCTCTTTCCTACTTAGGCATGGGTGTAGGTGCACATTGTGCAGCAGCTTTGACTTGGAAGCTGCTGTAAGGAATGAAAGGATTGTTTTAGCAAATCTCTATGCTGAGATCACCAACATATTCCAAGGGATTAGAGATGGGAGGGATACTTCCAGCTACTCCAATTTTAGCTTCAGATGACTGTCCAAGTGTCAGTCACCATGTAGTGCTGTCTTTTATCTCTTTTTTTTCTTGCACTAGGTGCCTAGTTGGCAATCCCAGTGGAAGAAGCTTTGGAGATGTAGCTTTCCTGGAACACTCAAACCTGCTCCAGAACATAGAGGGTAAGATGCAGATATTCTCTTTTCCTCTGAGAATGTTCATTAATGTCAGTTACTTCCCAAAAGCAACCATCACTCATGAGGATCAGCCTTTACAGGTTTAATCTAGGTCCATGAAGTTGTGTTTGTAAATGGAAGATTGCCAGAAGCTTTCTTCCAGTAAAGCTCAATATTCAGATACTGTAAGAGAGGAAAGAATCACCCAGTGCAAAGATGTGTGGTGGGATAGTCATCCTTGGAGACCGCACTAAATGTCTGGAAGCTTTAAATTTCACAGCTTTAAAAGGCAAACCAAAATATGTTTTTCTTAGAGTCAAGGAGAAAAGAAACCCTCATTAAAACAAAATAAAATTCTGTTTTAGGCAATTTGAGTAAGAGAAGAGACTTTTCTAAGAGAGGAATCTCTCTAAAATTAAATTAAGGTATAAGGGGCTGGAAACACACAGGAATTCCTGCAGCAATCAGCAGTTGGTTTGGGGAAGCAAAGGGCATGAATCCCTTCGTTTCCAGAAAGGGATGTGGTTACAGATGAAGATGAGGCATGCCTTGATCTGATTCTAGTTTAGTTGACAGGTGCAGCTTAAGTTCACTGTCCTCAGTGAAGACACTACCCTGGTCCTTATGCCTTCCTAAGGAATGACCACATAGCACGCTGTGTTTGTTTTGAACACACTGACTAAACTCCCTCTCAAGTTTTAACATTTTATTTGAGATTCACCCTCTTCTACTTTACTTTTTCAAAAAGATTACCTTTCATTTTCTTTTCAGATCTGGGCAGCTCTGGTTGGGCAAAAGGTTACAGCCCCCTTGACTTTGAACTCTTGTGTCCGGACGGAACGCGCGCCGCAGTCACAGAATGGGCAGGCTGTAACCTCGGCCCCATTCCCCCCAGCACAGTCATGACTCGACCTGTCACTGTCACTAAAATCTCTGACTTCCTACTGAAATCTCAGGTGTGACAGGTAACAGGGAAAAGCTTGGCATGTTACTATTTGTTATGTACAACTGCTGAAAACCTTTTCAAGACGAAAAGCTTTATATAGTAGTGCCTTCAGATCCAATACAAAAGAATTAAGATTGAGAAAATAGTTACTCGGATTCTCTTAAGGGGTATTTTAGCACCAGTTCCCATTCCACAGAGGCCATACTTTTGTTGAGAAATAAGGCACTGCAAAAGTGCATCATTTTGTACTAATATGAACAGTGCTAGATAAAAGTACTATTAATGACTCAAGCTGTGAAACTTTTATTCCTTTTCTGTTCAGGAATCTCTGGGAAGCAAATTGGATTCTGAGTTCCAGCTCTTTCAGTCGTGGAAGTATGGTGAAAGTGATCTGCTTTTCAAAGACACCACTCAGTACCTTGTTCATGCAAGTCATCTGAGCTATCAGGAGATCCTTGGAGAGTCTTTCCTTCAGCTGGCAGAATCAGTGTTTAATTGCACACCTGCAGGTAAAGTCAAGTTCTTAATTCAGAGTTAGAGAGAAGTGCAGCAGGCAGCCTTCTGTGCACAGCTCTGGCCTTTTTGTTTAGACTGCATGGAGAAGTATGTTCTACCCAATCCTGTTCATAACAAATTTCTAAGGAGTCCTGTGTTAGATTTCTGTGAGACTAACTTGGTAATTGCAATTCAAAAGGGGAATTTAACTTCTATTCTGCTGTTTTAATGAATAGCATCTAAAGAACTTACTACTTTTGAAGTTGATAGCATCTCTAAGTGTATGCTTTCTTACTGGTTTGTAGGCATCTTGGACTTCTGCAGACAGGATATCTGTGCATCCTCATCCAACTGACAGCTCATACAGAAGCTCTTCAGGGCACATAACATCAGCATTGTTGCTGAGAACAAGGAAAATGTGCAAGTCCAACCAATCCAAAGCCATCAGCAAGGAAACAGTCATCTCTAGAAATGTATACTGAACACCTTCTTGTCTTTCTTTTTTCCAGCAGATTTTGTTTATGATGATGTAATACTGCTCATATATCATCTCTTTCTTTTTTGGAGCACGGCAGCATGGGGAACAGCACAACCACAGCGCAGAACTAGGATCAGCATTGTGGAAAGAGCAGGGCCAGTACCATGGACTAAGATACAGATTGATATGAGTGGTACAGGTTAGTTGGTAGCATTTTGCCTTGTTTGTCTTATAAACAGTTTCCATGCAAAAACCCCAATCAACTGACATTTTTGTAGTTGCAATATTGTCTTTCTGTATCTGTGATTTTGGTTGCAGCTAGACAGCCCCTGCTGAATGCACATATGTATTTCTTCTTAACCAGTGATTTTTTACTAGTAAATCAAAACATTTTTTTCTCACAAATAAATGTATTAAGACATTTAAGAGCCAGCAGAACTGGATGCTTGCAGCAGTGTATTCCTCTTTGTCAAGACCTCTAACCGTTTATATTGATACTTTGAATTTAAGATTCTCTGAAATGTCAAAATACAATTACAATCAATTACACACCACAGGTTTTACAAGCAGAAACTGCCTGAACATGCTATGAAGCCTTTTGAGCAGAAATCATCTGTTCATCATCTGTATCCCATCTTGTCCCAGTATGATGACATATCCAAATCCTCAGGTGCATTTCCAGCCAGCAAGCTGCAGCCCTGAAGGAGCAGGGAAAGAGCAGGATCCTTCTTTAGGCCTCTCAGGTGTTCCTGCCTTTCTTTCTTAGAGCTTCCCTGCCACCTGTGGGGCCCGTGTGACACTGCACGTGGAAGAAGGCAGTTCTGAGCACACAGTGAAGAAATGCAGCTGGCAGCCTAGCTTTGCCAAGAGCAGCCTGCAGCTGATCAGGGACAAATTAAAAATCTGGTTTAGACACAAGATTTTATGGGGTGGGAGGACAGGGATGATGTTTTCTGACACAGACATTACCAATGGCCTTGTGGATGATCCCATGCTCCAGCTTTGATTCACAAACTGTGTGCTGCCTTGCACAGCCTCTGGTACATGAACCACTGGCCAGCCTCAGCCTTGAATCTCAGCTCTGAGCTGAGCAGGAACTGTTTGTGCTTTCTGTGCTCCCTGGCTCCTGCTACTCTGCTTTCTGAAGAGATGGATGCTGCCTCAGTGTTCTGAATAGCAGCTGAGATCATGCTTAATCTCCCCCAGGCTGGGATGAAGGAACACCAGAACTGCTGCCTCTGTCTCAATAACAGCACACACTGTTACCCAACCGTGCTGATCTCTTTGGAGATTTGACCTTTCCCCCCTGCATGTAAGACATATTCTCATGCATATTTACCCATACAAGCCTAAAGGCCTTAAAAACCTGAAAAGTACTCAGAAAAATTTATTTCCATAAATTAAAAACACACACAAAAGAAACAGTAAAATTTTAGATTCACACAATATTGAACAGAAACAAAATGCCAAGAGCATGATGGAGGCTAATGGCACAAATGTACAAATTCTCATTGAGCTATTTGTTACCTTGATAGCATCATACAGACTTTTAATCCACAGTTACTATCCATATTCTAGAAAAGCACCTGGAACATAATATACCAAACGCCCACCTGAAATAAAATACAAGGAGTGAGAACTGCTTGCAGGACATCATTTCCAGCAAGCACCAGAACTCAAATGTATGCAGACACAAGCCAGCCAGGCAAATGCTGTACCATACACTAAGGAGCCTTAGCTGCTCCAGTCATAGCATGATGAAAACAATGACTTTTTTCTTCTTCTTCTTTTTTTTTTTTTTAATGATCCTTCTATCTCTGACAATCAGCAAATTTAGCAAAGAGCTGCTTGGCTCTACTAAGAGACAGGACATGGCAAAAGCTTTGCAATCCTTCTCAAGCTGTTCTGGTCATCAGTCTGTGATGACTTTCCATAGTGATATAAAAACATCCTCACTGGAGTGGATCCACTTAATGAAAAGGCAAGTGTACATATCCTTCTGCTAGGGATGTATGCAAGACCCCAAAAGATGAATCCTCTACACTTTTTAATTTTAATTAGCTGTGACAGAAGCAGCTCAGAATGGCAAATGCCCAGCTTTTGCCCAGTCATCACTCCCAGTGTAGAAGCAGCAGCCACAAGGAACATGGCTGTTCCATGAGTGCTGTAAACAGAAACAGAGGTGGGAAAGGAAAAAAACAACAAAGTGCATAAGCAGGACTGACACCTGTATGCTGGAGAGGGGAAGAGATGCTTGGTGTCCACTAGCTTACATTGTCATACAAACACTAAACCAAAGAGAATAATGCTGTGTGTTTGGGTTTCCACAAACTAAGGTCTGGGAGAAGCTAAACAACTGCAACATCATTTTGTAACTCCTCCAATTTCTGTAAACCAAAGAGTATTTGAGTGTTGTCTGTGCTCTGCTCTCTCCGCTGTAGCTTGTAGGAAAAGAAGTTCATAAATCTTATTTTAATGCAATCAGAAACGAGAGAGCAGGGAAGAAAATTTAAAAAAAAAACCCTAAACAAAACAAATAAACCCCAACATAACCCAAAGGAAAAGACTCAACACGTTTTATCTTTTGAAGCACATTAGAGACTGAACTTGTCCTGGATCCAAGTCTCTTCTCCCCCCCACCCCAATCTTTATTTCCTTGAAAGGCCCAGTAAGTTTACAGCTTAATTGTATCACTGGAAGCCTCCCATATGAATAGAAGTGAAAGAATGCTCTGTAACAATCCCATTCTATAGCATAAATCCATAAAAATATATCTCTCACTCTTGCTACCGCTGCCAACTAGTCAATAATTGGGCTAATAAGCCAACCTAGGGAAACTTTCAAACATTTCTTAAGAGGCAGTTGATCTTTGTTTTTTAGGAATTTCTTTTTACAAAAATAAAGAGGATCAATTAGAATGTTCTATAACAGCCCAGTAAGTTAACCAGAAAAATACTATGTCAATATGTTCAAGGTTTGTCTTGTTTTACCCTCAAACTCCAAACACTACTACTCTAAGTGTGCACTCCTCTCTTTTCTTCAGTCTTCCTGATTAAAGATAATTAGCCTTCAAAACAAGAATATAAACTTCTACAAATCCCAGCACAAGCTGGGAGCAAAACAAACCCAGATCAGATTTCTTTCAAGACTCAGGCACACACAGTGTAATAATTCTCTTCCATTTCTCTACTCTCAAAGCTCTGCAATTCAACAGATTGCTTGTTAACATTTAGTTTTCTGTTTGGTCAGTAACAGAAGTGGTAGAGCAACAGAAGATAATGATGGTATTTGCAGTCCTGCATTTATTGGGACTTTATAAAAATTACCCACCCACTAGATTTGCTCAATTTGAAGGTAAATAGAAACTCTATTATATGGGTAGATAAATAAGAAAGTGCAAGTTCAAGTGATAAGTGAAAGAAAGAACAGACTAATTAAATTTGAGCATCCCAGCAACAACAGCTTTGCCTGAATAACTTCTCTAGGCACTAAGGGACAGAAATTACCTGAACAGCAGCTAGCACTGGAATTATGCTTCAAGTTAAGTTTAACAGAAGTTATGCCAGAAGGGAGCTCTCTTCCTTCCAAAGGTAGAGCTGAGAAATTGCCCAGTGCTGCATCAGATAATTACATATGGCCTTTCATAACCAAAACAATGCCCACATACTCAAAGAGGCTCTTTGTACAGCACTGGCTATTTTGCACAACAGTGCTATACAGAGAATAGCTAATTATGAGCTACAGGAACTGTCAATCTAAAATGGTAAAAAAACCCCACACCTTCTTCTTGACATTAAAATCAAGTTAGTTTGAATGGAATTAAAATAACTTTAAAACAAGTATCAAAAATTTTGCTGGTCTTCCCCGCAAGCAGCAGCTCAGCTCAGTTAAGTAAAAATCTCTGCCTATGTATCCTGCAGCTTAGCACCCTCAGGGACCAATTACCTTTTCCTCTGGAGAAGCTGGCATCAGCCAAGTAAGTAAAAAAATCTCCTACTTGGGAAACAATAGTACTGGGCACCATTTTTCCTTAAAACACCACCTTTTTTGAGTTGAATCATGTTAAAAGAAGCATGTACAAAGTGCAAGTTATTTAATGTCTAATTATGTGGGGCTTCTGCTGCCTGGAGCCTGGAAGGGCAAAGAAACTTAGAAGGAACCTTCTAAGTTAACAGAAGGAAGAAACAATTGAATATAAACCTAGACAGATACTTTTAATTATCAAAAGGTTAGTGGTATATCAAGAAGGTGTTTGCTAGAATTCTTCTTTATCAAACACCATATCTCTTTTGTCAGCTTGTTAAAAATAGCCATTACAGTAACAACAGCAGACTCAAATGTGCAAATGATCTGGAGTACAGAGTTCTAGCATCACTGAAGGTGCACTACTTCCTCCTTGACACTCCTACTCTACCCCCAAAAGATATACAAACATAATTAATTAAATATAAGCAGTAATTTCCAGAGGTTGAGAAAAGAAGGGTAAATTTCATGTGGCTGTGTTACACTCAAACAGGGACTTAGAAGAATCCCTCCAACAGCATTTAAAAAAAAATATAGCACCTTAAAGAGGGTCACAGCCAAAAACTGATTATCAGATGTTAGAACAGAGTGGCAGAGTAAGGTATGAAGAAGTCAGTAGAATTGTCCCAAAAAAATACTAAAGAAGCTGACTGGACCCTTCCCAGCTAAGTGACTCCCTCAGATGCTGGAGGCCTGCTCCTGCTCAACCTCCTCTGCAAAAAAGGCTTCAAGGTCCATGAGCTTCTGACTCAGAAGAACATCTAACTCTGCACTCTGCAGTGCAGCTCTTTTTGCTCGGGTGAAACTACCCACTGCTTTGATTTTGCCTCGTGTCTTCCTTTTCCGGGGAAGAGTGAAGTCCTGAAACTCTAAAATCCGCTTTCTCTTTTGCTGGCTGACAGAGATCAAGTGTCCATTCTTCTCCTTGGGCTCCTCAAAGATTGTTTCCAAGCTCCTGGTTAAAAAAAGAAGAGAACTCATGAATACCTTAGCAGCAGCCACCTTACAGTGACAGGGAGACTGGGGGATTTCCTAACCCAGGTAAACACACTTCTAACTTTTACATTTTTACAGCCCCTCCACACACCTTACACCTCCTACAATGCACAGTACTGCCAGCTGAGTTGTTATTGCTGCACAGACATTTGGATAGAATCTCTTTGTATTTCATTTCTAAAGCACAATTATAGAATCTTAATTTTACAGAAGAAATAAGTTTGAACGTTTGATGACAGGCCAAGATTGTCGGGATTTTAAAGAACATGTAATTCCCTTTGAATTTTGGAAAGTAAGTACTGTACTTTGATTGAGACTGGAATGAATGGATAAATGAAAAAATATACAAATCCATACTCAACCAGCTGCAAATTCTTAGTTCATATTCTATTTCACTTTTTCACATCCAAACTGTAAAAGATACTATTTTTAAATTAACTTTGTCTAGCAGTTTAAACTAGACCAATTTTAAGAATATATCTCCCTCTTAACTTTCATACAGCTTTCATGTCCTTCCCCCCCCCCAGTTAATTTACATTTATCTCAAGTTTTCTTATAGGAAGCAGAACCAACCTGGCAGGAGGAGGGGACTTATAGTTCTTATTTGTGTAAATTTCTTCTAAACTAAATTCTTTCTTCTTAAGCCTGAAAAAGTAATGACAAATCAATCTAGAAGGAAGAATCTCTTCACAGCAAGCAGATTTACAAGAAACAAGTACTGTTTGCATTCTATGCCTAAATGGTAACTAATTATGCTTTAACTAACTGGGGATAAATAGGAATGAAAAATGAGCTCATGAAGCACATAATGTCATACAGTGTTTTTATAAGGTTGGTGTCAAGACTTGCACTTTCTGCAGAGATCAGTATTTTTTCCAGCATTCTATGATGCTTTGAAATAATGATGCTCAAAAGGGGAAATCCCCTTCATTTTTTTGTGAAAGCTGAGAAGAAGTCTTACAGTTTAACAGATTAATACCTCATCTCTTGAGACTGATTTTAGTTATTGACAATTACCAAGCAGATCTCTGAAGAAATGCATTCCATTGTCAAAGGTGGTACCTGTGTTTAGGACAGAAGTCATACTAGATGAAGTATGACTGATCTGACCAGTGTGACTAGCAGGCACACTAGATGACTGACTGGAAAACTTTATCAACATCTGGCACTGTGATTCCCCACACTTTCACTGAACTAATGCTTCCCTAAGATCATACCCCAAACAAAGAAACTGTGAAAAATTCCAACACAATTTGCATCAACAGAACTTCCTAACAGATCACTTCATCTCACTGTGCACTGCAGGTTGACTGATTTTCACTTTATCAATAAAAACTTCTTTCTTCTTTAGAAAAATGATTGCATTGCAGCTTGCTTTTTCACATTTTGCTAAACTCCAGTCAGTGATTTTGACTGAGTTGATCGAGCTGTGTCAGTCATTTCTTGTAAAGGAAGTAAACATCAGATGTCACTCAACTGGGGCTGTATAAATAGTGTGGTAAGAGAAGCATTTATTGAAATGATTACACTCATATGCTTTGAGTCCATTTCAGAGGTACTGCTCACCTTTTTGGTTTGGGTAGTCCCATTGGAGTAAGGTTAGGGTCTGGCTTGGGAACAGTTTTCCTGATTCTGATCTGTGAGACTTTCTTTGGCCTCTTTTCTGGCTCAATCTTAAGAAAGAAAGATGGAAAAGTTAAAATCAAGGAAATTAAAACCATACTAGTCAAGAAAATTCCCTTTTATTCTGAATATACATTATCTATAGAATAAACATTCCTCTCTGGTTTGCCACCTTTTCCTGCTTGAATCAAAGCAAGCAGCAGCACAGAGCAGGACCTGCAGCCTGTTTTCTCTCCTCATCTTTAACAGTTACTTGATAATATCCAGCAGCAGCAGCTTCAGCTTCTGGAGAACCAGGAGTCTGAGAGATGTAAAATATAAAATGAACTCACTTTTTTCAGTTCTGTGTCATCTTGGGATCTCAGACAGGCTGGAACAGAAGCATCTGCTTCATCAAGGGCAGGGATCTGGAGCTCAGATGCTGAAAGCCTGGGGGGTGACTCTGGAAGGGCGCGAGGCTTTGGGGATGGAGGAGGGAATGAAGTTTCCAGACTGTAACAGAGAAAGAAGGGAACACATGTAGATTGATACCCAACTGACAATGCAGCAGCATTCCATGCTCTCAGGAGATGTTCCTAAATTGCAGTATGGGCACAAAAAACCAGCACATTTCACAGAAATGGCCCAAGTAAGTGAACACATACAGCCCAGACCTGCTGCATCCCACACTGACACTGACACCAACTGAACTGCCAGAGTATTTGAACATGTCTTTTAAAACCCACTCCTTCCATACAGCTAAACAGAATACAGCTCTATATATTAACTGATAGAAAGGGATGAATCCTCCTTTTCTGCCAGCAAATTTATTTGCCACAACTATTAATCACACTTTTTGTTTACAGATACAATATAGCTTTGATACCTGCCATCCCTACACTTAGAAGGAATAGAAGGAAGTTACAGCACCTATTGTCCAGTTGCTAAGGCAGAAAGCACTTATATCCAACTAAGGAGTCAAATTTCTACCCAAGTAAGGAGTCAAACTTCTATAGTTTCACATATTCATTTCATAAGAAGTGGCACAGCATGGTAAGAAGTAACAGAACTGTTCTGTCCAATGTTCTGTGTGATGTTTGCATAACTGCCCCTCCACTCCTCCATTACATCACCCAGTCAGCTTGCCTCACCCATTTCTTAATCAGAAAGCTGTTCTGGGAGTGAACTGCTAAAAGCTGAAAGCCCAAATGACATTAACAATGGCTTTCTGAGGAAGGTTCTGATCCCACTATCCAGAATAAATAGCAGCATCCCAGGTACTCACCGTATCGCATGGCCTGTGCTCTGCAGTGCTCCCATACTCTGGACAGGTGAGTGTGGTAACATGGCACAGCTGGGTCAAGGAGGAATGGAAAAACAAAACAAAACAGACAGAAATTAGGTCTACACTATAAAAAGATGGGGGAATAATTATTAGTATAAAATGGACTTTAAGACAAGATGTTCATATCAGGAATGAGAATGGAAGACTAAAATGATAATAAATAGCAGCATCCCAGGTACTCACCGTATCGCATGGCCTGTGCTCTGCAGTGCTCCCATACTCTGGACAGGTGAGTGTGGTAACATGGCACAGCTGGGTCAAGGAGGAATGGAAAAACAAAACAAAACAGACAGAAATTAGGTCTACACTATAAAAAGATGGGGGAAAAATTATTAGTATAAAATGGACTGTAAGACAAGATGTTTATATCAGAATGAGAATGGAAGACTAAAATGATGCAAAAGAAAGCCACATCTGCTGTTTAGGCAACTAAATTTCATTGTTAGGGAAACTGTCCTGCTTTCATTTTAAAATGGTAGTAATGAGAAAAGGAAATAAAGGCACAGAAAGAGAGTGAGACAGTAATGTTAAAAGTCGTAATTATTTAAAGTCTAAAAATTGTAATTCTTTCTATGAAAGTCTATTTTCCTTATTCAAAATCCCAAGTTTTTACAATTAAAGTAACCAAAAGCCTTGAAGGATTTGGTTACTAACGAAAATAGTGCATAATGGCAACAGTAACAGGTAAAAGGAAGTAGCTCCATTAAATTAACTCCCTGTTGTCTCTAACTCCCACAGCCTGCAATACCCTTACTTGACTGGAATAACCAAAGGCTTTCCGCCAGAATTCTATCACATAAAAGTCAGCACAGCAGCAATAAGTCTTTTGATATTAAGCTTTACTTTTGTGCCCACACTATTAACAGCAGGAATTCACTAGGACAGCTTTTATTACATTCAACAAACAGCAAATCTTGTATTTGCTGTTCTCTCTAACCAACAGTGAAATGCACTTCACTGTTCTAAAGCAAAGATGTTACAGCCAGACTGGAGTTCTACAAAGGAAATGAAAACCAGCCTTGCTGGAAGCCCAGGGAAGTCTAACTACACATAAAGAGGTCAGAAAGACACACTTATTGTGTTTATCATTTATGTCAGGACTGTAACATTTTGTTTCAACATTCCACTATTATTCCAGTGTTACTGGAACCTGTATTGATAGTGCAGCAGTGCCCTCTCTGTTAGAGACAGAGCTTATTGTTTTATGCAATAATAATACAAAATTACAAGGACAGAAGGGAATAGCTTTAGAAATGTTCCATTCAAATAAGCATTAATTAGAAAAAAACTTCACTGAAAGAATTCTTTTATTATTGACAGTGGAAGGGACAGTGGAAGTTAGGTAGGGCAACTACTTTAGTTCCTTGTTCTCCTGGTTATTAAGAACACTAATTGTGGCTGAAATATTTTAAAGAGAACAAATATTTTCCAGATGAAAATGGCCTGCAGAGAACTTTATTATTTTTCTTATTTTTAATTATCTTAAAACAGGCAAGAATTTCTGTTATAGGGAGAGCTGAAAAGGCTCTTATACTGCACCAAACATACCTCTTGTATTTATGTACCAAACATCTGAGTGGGACAGATTTATGTCTGCCTCATACACATAGCTGTAAGGCATTTTAGAGAAAAAAAAAAACAAAACTATTTGAGTTTTAGGGTGTTTTAACTCTGGATTATTTTTCCTGCTTGAATCAAAGCAAGCAGCAGCACAGAGCAGGACCTGCAGCCTGTTTTCTCTCCTCATCACTTGAAATGAAGATGTTTGATTTGAATACTTTCCCTCTGGGAAAAAGATCACCACTCATAACAAGGCATGCTCTTTTCCAATGACTCCTTAAGTCAGTAATGAAATCCTCTTAGACATGAGCTAACTGGATATGTTGTCCCAAGCTGCTGAGGAACTGCAGACCTAGGGATGGGGAAAACCCCAGGTTTTGATCTCCCAGTCCAAGGAGAGCATGCCTCAGCTTATACACACCAACACAAAACACTGAATTCACCTTATACACACACAACTGAGTTTTAAAAAGATGTTTGTTTTGTTTTTAACAATGTGTTATTTTTAAGTTTAGTACTCAAACTGTACTTTACTGGTATGATCACTTTCAGAGTATGGAATGAAAATGGAAGCAAGTCCCATAGAATGTGCTGCAAAACTTGTCTCTATGCCATTATTCAACTTAATTCTTTTAGTGCAGACAGCTCCAGAATGGAGCAGTGCTTTCACAAGCTCACTCACACCTTTGGCAGACATTAGAATTTATACTAACAAGTGATAAACTTTTAGGTATGTTACCCATTTATACAAAGCAAAGTGCATTTGTTATCTGGCAAGATTTTTTGGTTACGTTTGTGTCAATCTGTGACATAGGCTAAATTCAACAGTTCTCTACAGACTGCCACACTAATCAAAACAATTAATTAAACAGACTTTGGTACAGTGATCATGAAGCTCTCTGCCCAGTAATTGCAAGGTGACAAAATCAGGGACTGAACTGCCCTATGTTACTAAGGGGTAAAGGGCAAAATCTTTGCTCAAGGGCATACAAAAATCCTGTAACAGAACTAGGAACTTCTTTCATTCTTTTTATTAGCAAAATGATCTTAAATGCTCATAACAAAGTAAAATTAAATATGCAAAGCAGATTTCAGTCCTCTTCCCACTCGTAACAAGACTGACACACAGAGAAAAATTCATTACCAATGTTAACTGGAGCTACAATTGCTTGTGCCAACATCACATATGAAAAGCCATAGCATGCATAAAGAGGTTTCAATTAGCATAGAATGGTCATGGAATACAATAAAAAATGTTACTGAATGACACCCCCCTCCCTTTACAATTCTTCCTAACCTGATATTGAGCATTTTACAGTGGTTCCAAGGGGTATTTGTGGCTCAGACCTCTGAAAAAAACTTTCCTACCTCAGAAATCCAGTTCCTCTGCAGTCACTCTGAATAGACCTAATGAAGTAGCTCACCTTTTGCATTATATACTCTGATGCATGGTGTGTATATATTGCAAGGGAGAAGAAAATAGAGTTAGCCATTCTGCCAAAACAGGACAGTATAAAAGAAGCGAAGGCAAATATATTTAAATTCAGCTACAAGACTGTTCTGTAAGAAAGCATCTTCCACGTCGAGCCATTCCTGGAGCAGAATGTGTAGATGTGGAACAGGAGAATCTGACCCTCCAGTGCAAGCTGCAATTACCCTCTCCCTCCCAAAAAGGAGCAAGAATATACCCTGCACACATTTAATCTCAGAAATAAGTTGATGGCTTTTACCTGTTCTCGATGCCCACACTTGGCTGCCACTTGCAGTGAGTGGAATGGAGAGGAGTGATGTCAGGACGGGCAGCAGGACCGTGCTGACTCCATATGGACAACACCCTGCCCAGAGAGTACGGCAACGAGGAGACGAGCTCGTGGGACACGCACCTCGGGAGCCTGGCCCCTTTCAAACCCTGCGCCAGCTGCGACATAAACAGTCTCTGGATGGTAGGAATATGACTGGTTAAGTTTCTTCTTCGTGTCCAAATCCTGTAACATCCAGGGGAAGAAAGTGCTAACACCGTGTGAAGGCCAAGCGTGGAACAGCCTCCTCCTCTTCTTCCAGCTACAGTGTTTCTTCCAGGGTCGGGATGAACAGCAACAGTCCTGCGGGTTGTTGTGGAGTGTGAGGAATGAAGCTCATTATTTACACAGGAATCTTCCTGGAAAGCTGTTGTACCTGAACAGCTCTGAGACAGGAGAAAAGATAAAGTCCACTTTGAAGCTGGTGCTGGAGTTTCTCTGAAAACTGGGCTGTGATGTACAGAGTGCTGGGATGTAATCCCTCTGAGGTCTGTCACAGGACTGGAGTCCAATTTTATGTGAAAAGAAATTGGGAAAACCGAGGTGTCCAAGAAAGAGGCTGGAGGCTTGTGGCTTAAGTCTGAAGAAAGTATTTTGGTAGTTTCTATAGGATAAAGTGCCAAAGGCTGAAAGCTGAACATCTTGGTGCACCAGCTGTCAGCCCAGCGTGAGTGTACGTTCCTGTTAATGCAAGAAAAGGCTTCCAAGAGATTTTTAGATCTACATTGGCTGTACCTGTCACCCACTGGAAGAATTTCAGAAGAATATGGCAGAGGTTCTACGTTACGGCTGCTTTTGGCAGGGGCCAGGAGCTTGCTGGCCATTGCAGACAACTTGTTCAACAATAATAATGCCGGTTCTTTGGTACATTTTCTGAATTTCAAGCTGTTCAACAAACTGCACCTCTTGGCCCTCTGCCTTGGCATATGTGCAAATCTCATGGCTGTTTCCTTTTCCACTGTCGGTGGTTTACATGGAAAGTACAAAGATTCCAGAAGTGGGTTTTCCTGTTTAGGGAATATTTCCAGGGGAATCTCAGAGACAGGTGAACTTTTCATTTGTTTTATTTTTCTTACGGTTTTTAGCTGATACAATGTGGGAACTTTTTTGCATGTCCTTCCAGGTTGTATTTTTAATGGAAGAGGTCCTCTTAGTTTATTTGTAGTTCCTCTTCGTTTATTTGTAGTTCCAAAGGCACCAGGGATCCCATCATACCCTAAATTAAGGTTCAGGCTTTCCATTTCTGAATCCTGAGTCTTCAAAAACTGTGAACTAATAAAATCTGTGGTAATCTTTGGCCTTTTAACTTCTTGTAAAGTGCTACATGGTTTAATTTCACTGCCTCTTACAGCAACAATCTCCTCTGAAGCGCCTCCAAACTTTGTATTTCCAGATGTCATCAACTCAGCTGAAGAGCTGCATAAGAGTTCAGAACTGTGCAACATATTTGGTTGCAATATGATTTTTGCTTTCTCCTGGTGTTTTGACTTCTGTTCTTGTTGTGCCTTGCCCAACTGATGTACTTTCATCTTTCCATACCTCTTTTGTATAAATACTTGACGTTCCTCTATTTGATCAAGTCTCTCTGAACATAAAGCCCCATTTTCCTTGCAAACTGCACGAGCTGGTATTTTGTCCTGACCTTCTGTTACTTCCTTTACATTATCTTTGCTCCACGCATTTAATTTGTAAGGCACACACACTTCACTGCAAACCACACAGTTTGGGGATGGTCCTTTGCAACTGTCTGATAGTGTGCTCAGAGGTGGAGAAAATGTGGGCGTTGTATCATCCTGCACTTCTGGGGCAGCCTCTGTGTCAGATACAGCTCCAGGCTCACAATCATGCACAGTTTCTGAAAGTACACTGGTACCTGCTAAGTTTGGGAGCTTTGTATTATTTTGTCTTTTTTTTGAAAGATTATTTAGTTTGGATCTTGGGATTTCTTCCAAAACCTTTCTATAATTCTCAGTCCTGAGGGGGACTATTTTGCTACCAGACTCTTTAGAATCTTCCAACAAGGCCCATGGACAGTGTTTGGGCAACCTTCCTCTAGGGGGTACCTCTTTTCCTATCATCTCTTCTACACAGGTATTCTTAAATTTCTCTTCACCAGGAGGACTTTTTGGTGAGCTGATGTCCATGACTTCCGTGGTTGGTGTGCAAAGCCCTTCACCTTTCAGACTTTCTTTGCTGTGGGTACAAACTCTTGAGCTTTTGGCACCATTCAGAGAGCCAGCTGCTGATTCATTCCCTGAAGATGGAACCTCAATATTGCTGGATTTTTTCTTAACGGAAATTGTGACAGAAAGAATTTTTGTCATTGAAGTATCTTTGCTGAATTTTTTGTCTGCAGATGAAATATCTCTTTGTGTATTCTCAGGTGACATACACAGCTTTTCTTTCTCAGGCAGAGAGATGTGAGAGTTCAGAGCTGATACAGTTTCTGAATCTGCCCAAGTCTTACTGGAGGTTTCTTGGATGTCAAACTTTTCAGAATAGGATGCATGAACACCCCCTTGATCATCAGTTTCTTTACCAGGCTCAAAAGTTAACTGCAGGCAAGAGTTATTTGAGATAGGATTTACACTCAGACTTTCTCTGTTTTCTGTATCTGAAAGCACATTTATATTTTCTGGCTTATCTGTAGCCTTAAACTTCTCTTGACCAGGAGGACTTTTTGGTGAGCTCATGTCCATGTCTTTCATGGTTGGCATGCAAAGCCCCTCACCTGTTAGACTTTCTTTGCTGTGGGCACAAACTCTTGAGCTTTTGGCACCATTCAGAGAGCCAGCTGCTGATTCATTCCCTGAAGATGGAACCTCAATATTGCTGGATTTTTTCTTAACGGAAATTGTGACAGAAAGAATTTTTGTCATTGAAGTATCTTTGCTAAAAACTTCAGCTGAAGATGAATCATAATTATCTCTTTGTGTATTCTCAGGTGACATACACAGCTTTTCTTTCTCAGGCAGAGAGATGTGAGAGTTCAGAGCTGACACAGTTTCTGAATCTGCCTGAGTCTCAACACAAGATTCTTGGATGTCAAACTTTTCAGAATAGCATGCATGAACACCCCCTTGATCATCAGTTTCTTTACCAGGCTCAAAAGTTAACTGCAGGCAAGAGTTATTTGAGATAGGATTTACACTCAGACTTTCTCTGTTTTCTGTATCTGAAAGCACATTTATATTTTCTGGCTTATCTGTAGCCTTAAACTTCTCTTGACCAGGAGGACTTTTTGGTGAGCTCATGTCCATGTCTTTCATGGTTGGCATGCAAAGCCCCTCACCTGTTAGACTTTCTTTGCTGTGGGCACAAACTCTTGAGCTTTTGGCACCATTCAGAGAGCCAGCTGCTGATTCATTCCCTGAAGATGGAACCTCAATATTGCTGGATTTTTTCTTAACGGAAATTGTGACAGAAAGAATTTTTGTCATTGAAGTATCTTTGCTAAAAACTTCAGCTGAAGATGAATCATAATTATCTCTTTGTGTATTCTCAGGTGACATACACAGCTTTTCTTCCTCAGGCAAAGAGATGTGAGAGTTCAGAGCTGACACAGTTTCTGAATCTGCCTGAGTCTCAACACAAGATTCTTGGATGTCAAACTTTCCAAAATGAGATGGACCAACACCCTTTTGAGCATCAGTTTCTTTACCAGGCTCAATAGTTAACTGTGGGTGAGAATTATTCAAGATAAGATTTGTACTCAGACTTTCTCTGTTTTCTGTATCTGAAAGCACATTTATATTTTCTGGCTTGTAAGAAAGACTCCCATGAATTGATGAAGTGGGCAGAAATAGAGCACTAATTTTATTTTCCTGGTTCTCCACCAACCACTTTATCTTTGGCAAAGATTGCTGCATTTTGTTTCCTGCAAACACCAGCTCTGCTTCCTCTTTTGCACATTGGATAAAACGAGCCTGCTGTGAGCACTGTAGTTTGTCATCAGAAAAGTTTTCTTCAAGAGCTCCTTTATTGTTTCTTTCACATCTGTTCTCGTGTTCTTGTAGTCTGATTGTCTTCCCTTCAATCAGATCACTTACGGAGTCCATGTATCCTGAAGAATCTTCATTTTTCACACCAATTAAAGAGTTCAAACCCATTACATTCTCTTGTACAGCTCCTTTAAACCTGGTTTCTCTTGCACATTTATGGTCTAACAGAGGCAGCTCACCACCTGTTTTTAGCAGAACCTCTTCACTGTGATCAGGATCAGTTTTGTCTCTTTCCACAGAACTTATGGTTTGTGAGCCAGTGTTTGGTTTGTTGGTTGAACTTTCTAAATGTTGCTCACTGCCCAGCACTGGGACATCAGGCTCACTCTGACATGGATGGAACTGATTTCCCAGTGGGCAAAGGGTCTGCTCTGTTTGGCCAGCACGTTGTGTTGGAACGTTCAGGTTGTTGAGTGCTGGCTGTGGGTCACAGGTTGAAGCGCTGCACTCGGAGGGATCAGCTGTGAGCAATGGCATTTCTTCCTGCTCATGTGTGTCGAGTTCTCTCTTCCATGGGCCTAACAGAGAGTTGTAAAATCCAAAATTATGAGCATGGGTGTTTTTGTTCAAGTGCCTGACTAATAGCTGTTCACTAGCCCTATTTCTCTTATTGCCTTCAGGAGCATTTGGGGAATCCACAGCTCTTGTTTCATCAAATTCATCTCTCTGGGAAGCACACGTGCCAATGTGTTCTTTTGCCTCATCTCTGTCACAAACAATTTCACTGCCCTTTACTTTACAAAGATCAAATTGTTCCACAACCTCCATATTCTTATTTGAAACCTCATCTCTTGCCAAGGTAGCAGTAGATTTCTCTGCAGCATATGCTGAGCAAAACATGGTTTTTCCTGTGGGAATATCATTTGTCCCATGCAGAGCTATACCTCTGTTGCCCCAGTCATCTTCACAAAGAAGAGATCCACGTGCCAAAGAGGAGTGTGCTTCTGGAAAGATGATTGCCTCTTTACTGTTATATCCTGATGAAGACACTCCTTCCAAATTATCATTTTCTTCAATCTTATCAACTTCAAGACCAAAAGAATGACTGTTCAGGAAAACTTCATCCACATGTGTACTCCCCAATAAAACACAGGAAGTACTGGCAGCTGTACACTGTTTTTTTATCCTCTTACCATTACAAAGCCATGTGTCACAAGGTTCATTTTCTAAACCAGTGATCACTCTCTCCATATTTCCTGCAGAAGATTTTATATTCATTTGGGATACTCTGCTTGCTGTATTAGGGTTATCAAAAGTCATGGAATTTACAGAAGACTTGAATTTGTTTTTATGAAGCAAAACCTCAGCAACTTGTTCTGCTGTTGTTCCAGAAGCACCAATTAATTCTTTTCTAGACCAATTATCCCAAGCCTTGCCCCTGCATGAAACTTCATTGTTAATACAAGGAAGACACTCATTATAATGAGGTTCTCTTGATTTTTGTAAAACAGGAGGTAGAGTTACATTTAGTGTATAAAACAAATTTGTTTTCTTCCCAGGGGATAAGCTGTCATTACTATCAGCTTCTGCAGCTCCAACTGAACCACCAGCCAACTCTTCTGATGTTGTATTGCTCTCAGATTCATTTTCAAGCAGTTGTGCCTTGGGTGAGTCTTTTTCTAGCTTGGTACTAAGATGAAGACAGCTGTGGTTACTGAGAGGAGGGATTTTATTGCCAGTACTACAAAAGCATGTCTCTCTCTGCCCAGTTTCATGGGAAGCAATGTTACCTGTTTCCACCCACAAACTGTTTTCTTGTATATCCTTCTTGCATGGGTCACTGACAGAGAACTGCCATTGGTCCTTTTTCAGCTTATCACCTTCTGATGGGAATATTTTAAATTTTTCTTTTGAGAACTCCTCAGGAGATGAAGCAACAGAACTAAAAACTGAAGAATGACACTGCTCAGAATTGGCAGCCTTTTGAGCTTCAGGCCAGCTACAAATTTCAACGTTATCTCCCACAGCAATTTTTCTCCAGACTTCAGCAGCTTCTTCAGATTCTGAGCTGTACGATTTTCCTATAGCAGCACTTAATTCCCTAGGATCAGTTTTTGCACTAGATAATACTTTTTTCCTTACCACTGAGATCTGCTCTACTGGTAGAGATGTGGAGGATTGGTTTTCTAAAAACCCAGTTCCATGATCATAAAGAGTGTGATGTTTGACGTTTTGGGGAAGGTACTTCTGGGGGCTTTCACTGATAATTCTGTGACCTGCAGAACTGCTTTGTGGTGGCACACTTCCAAAGTCCAGATAACTGATGCTTTTCAGAACGGGACATAAAACTTCAGAACTTTGTGTGGAGAGTGTTCTACAGCTTTCTGCTGAGAACAACTCATGAGGTTCATTTTGTTCAGGTACAGGACCCTTAAAGAAGTCATAAGCATAATTTTCTTCATCCTGCTGACAAGTCTGGCAATTAGCAAATGACGTACTGAATTCATTAAGAGGATTTTGTCTGGGTAACTTTTCTTCTCTAACCTCCAAAACAGATACACCATTTCCCCCTGTTCTCAATGGCATGGCAGCATGGGCTTTTGACCCACTATAGTCCCTTGTTTTTTGTGGATGATCTGTAGCTGCTCCAATGTCCATGACTTTTAAAGGCTCTAAAAAACCTAAGATGCTGGTTTCTGACACCCCAGCTCTGGCCATGACTGTGTCTGAGCATTGCTTGCTCTCAGGTGGAAGACCTTTACTCACTCTGTCATTCCTGTATCCTGCTTTACTAAATATCCTAGTCCCATCAGCCTTCATACCTTGTACTTCTGCAGTGAGCTTTGGCACAGTTTCAGCTGTCACCTGAACATTTGCTTGGTTTTCTTCTGCATAAGAAAAAAATAAACCAAATCAGAACCATTTGCTAAATTTAGAAGGCATTCAGCTCATTAAGTACCTTTTGTTGTGCACAACACTGCATGCAGTGTTGGTTACCAAAATGTTCTTAAAAGTGAGAATTGATGCTAACAATTTTACTACAAGTCTTTAGAGGAAAAACAAACTACTCCACCACAAAGCTAAGGCAACAAAACCAATCCTTTTCACAACAGACATTCCCATGAGCAGCAAGCATTCCAAGTCCTGTACATTTCAGATTCCTCTAGTATCAAGCTAGGTGAATGCAGGTCCTGTAATTTAACACAGGAAGCCATGGCCAACATTAAAATAATGCTTATTTGTAACATCAAAATTCAGCATAGGCTGGGACTCGATCTGTTCCAGCCTAGAAACAGGCTGGAATTGTGTGACCATTTCCATTTGTTCTTCCTTGGAGATATGTCTGTTAGTAATTCATCCATAGGAAAAAAAAGACATATCTCATCTGCTCAAGCAATTTGGATTATTCATAAACTTTCTTCTGTAAAATCACAAAGAAAGTGCTAATTAAAAAAATTACAGTTACTGTAGAATATCTTCATACTCAAAACTTTACAGGGAACATATTTGCTCAGACTTCTGCAAAACTTTTCTCTATTTTCTAGCAAGCACCAAGACTAGATGGCATTTGTCAGCTATATAAAACTTTAGGTAAAGATAGCAAGGGGGGAAAAAGAAAATAATTACTAGATTCAGGAAAAGTGACCAAAGTACTTGGAGCTAGAGAATTATGGAGGATTATAATAAAATTAATAATTACTTTAGCTGTCCTCTTTCTTTGGATTCTACACAAACAGGCTGGAATTGTGTGACCATTTCCATTTGTTCTTCCTTGGAGACATGTCTGTCATTAACTCATCCATAGAAAAACAAGACATATCTCATCTGCCCAAGCAATTTGGATTATTCATAAACTTTTTTCTGTAAAATCACAAAGAAGGTGCTAATTTTAAAAAATTACAGTTACTGTAGAATATTTTCATACTGAAAACTTTACAGGGAACATATTTACTCAGATCTTTTCCATATTTTCTACACTTTTAATTTTATTTTTTAGAACACTCAAAAATGAATGAGTAAAAGTACTTGGAGCTAGAGAATTATGGAGGATTATAATAAAATTAATAATTACTTTAGCTGTCCTCTTTCTTTGGATTCTACACATTTAATTTTATTTTTTAGAACACTCAAAAACTAATGAGTAATCATATATATATATGCTATTACTGCTTGGATACACTCCATCTTGGAAACAAAAGGAAATGCTAAACATTTGCTATTGAAAACCTCTTGTGCTTTGGAAACAAATTTTTCCATATTTTCTACACTTTTAATTTTATTTTTTAGAACACTCAAAAATGAATGAGTAATCCTTTTATATATATATATATATATATATATGCTATTAATGCTCTCATACACTCCATCTTTGAAACAAAAGGAAATGCTAAACATCTGCTATTAAAAACCTCTTGTGCTTTGGAAACAAACAATTAAAACACATCTTGTACAGAAAAGGTCTTGAGGCAAGTACATACACTGCCAGGAGAAAGTAAAGCATTAAATTTTGATAGTGTTATAGGTACACAGGGTAATACTTTCTAAATGAGCCATCCCACAATCACTCATCCGTTTTAAACCAACAGTAAATAACTGGGAGGGAAGCAGGGGCTGGATAGGGATGTGCAGCTGAAATAACTACCTGTGTTCCTCAGAGATCCTGCAGTTTCAGTGCAATAGGTTCTCAAAGACTTGGCCTCTTGCTCTTTTAAGCGAGGGTCCTCCTGAAACAGGACAGAAATATGGTCAGACATGGTTAGTTATGGTTAGATAGAAAAATGGTTAGATTTCCTGAAGTGTGTCATGTCTCAGGAACTGCATCTGCTCAGCTGAGTTAGTTCAGAATAAGAAACTCACTAAGAAACCTCCAGACACATCAGCCTTAGCCAGAGGCAGCCTTCACAAGGCCTTCACACAAGCACTGAGGATGTATCCCCAAAACATTGCTGTATTTAGCAGCAATGAAGTCTTGTGATGTGGCAGCTAAAATGTAAGCACATGGCTTAAAATGCAAATAGTTGAAAATTTGAATGAGAATAGTAATCCAGTCTCCATGTCTAGTTCACATCCCCAAACCACTACCACTAGACTTTTGGGAAGATGTGTGCAATTTCTGTCTCTAGTAGAACTTGCCTTCTGCTGTTCCTTGGGCTCAAAACCACAAACCCTGGAACAGGTGACCTAGATCTGCCAGCACAACCACCAAACCAAGATCCCACAACCACACTACCTGCATTTAGAAATATGTGAAAATTCACCTTGAAAACTAAATGACTATAAAGAATGTAATAATTTTAATTTCACAAAAGTGATAAATAATTTTTAAAAAATGTCAGATAAATCAAACAGATATCAAAATTTGGGACTAAACACACAAAATTAAGCACTCAGCTGTGCACCTTTTTCTGTTACACATCTGCCTTACACCATTCCAACAGTACTCAGGCAAGTGAAAACACTGGTACTTTAAAATACTGCTGGTCTGCTGAACTGTTGTCTAATTTTTCACTGGACCAACAACAATCCAGATACTGAGACACAACCCCCCTGGATGTGCCCAAGGCCAGGCTGGACGGGCTCTGAGCAACCTGGTCCAGTGGAAGGTGTCCCTGCCCATGGAACAAGGACCTTCAAGGTCCTCTTCTCACCCAAACCATTTTATGATTCCATACTAGAAGACACAAAAAAGAACCAGGAAACCCATTGCTGAACCCACTGCCTAGTGACTCTAAATTCAAATTATCACACAGGGATTCATTTCTGCATTCACTTACTTGTTCTGACCAACTTTCCCCCAGAGTTAAAGGGCAACATTCAGCATGATAGTCCTCAGCTCCTTGTGCCTCCTCATCTTCTTTCTGGTAACCATCTCTAGAACAGTCCAGTTTCCTAAAGTGTCTTTTTCTGCTTTTTTCATCCTCTGCAAGGTCTCCAGCCTGTAGCAATTCTTCAGGAAAGGATTCTGCTGGCCCATGAGAAATCACCTGGAGCACCTCACCCAAGTCCTCTGTCTTCTGGCAGAAGTTTCCAATGGCAGAAGCCCACGGCCCATCCCTGTGTGCCAGCAGGGGCACTGGCCCATCAGACTGCGCACCCACGCCAAGGCTGGGCCCTGGCACTGCCATGGGCTCCCTGGAGATGCTCTCTGGCAGCCCAGTGTACAGCTCCTCTACTGCAGCAGACACAGAAGCATCAGGGACAGACTCCACCCCAGATGAGAGCATCAGGGCTGGTGAAGATCAGTTGCCCTGAGCTTTTGAGTTGATCCTAAAAATAAAAGCAATGTTAAATCAATGTACATTGGATTAACCATAGAAAACCCTGAGCTGGAAGGGACCCTGAAGGATCACTGAAATCCAACTTCTGGACTAGATTAAAAGGGAAAGCTTAATTCCTCAAGATTCAAGGGTATATGTTTAGGAAAGATACTTCCAAATACGTCTTTAAGAAAAGAGCTGAGAAAGATTTGAGTATCTAAGGAAATGCATCATGAACAAATGAAGAGAGTAAAGCCAAACAGATATTCCCAAGCCTCATTTTCACATTCAAACATCTCCCTGCAGATTCAACCACATCTTCTGAACAGCCTGAGAAGAGATTATAAAGCAATTCATTGGGACTTGTATCAGACATCCCCCTCCTTCACCAGAACTAAAGCATTGTTTGACTTCCTGGGATTTTCATGAGCTTCTAGGCTTTGGAAAAACGCTCCAACTTTTCTTCCCATTCTGTGCCTCACACGAAGCTGTCTCAGGCACGAGGCAGCAGCCGGTGCCTGCAGCGGCTCCCTGCGAGCACTCGGTGCTCCGCAGGGCTTGTGCCGGGACACGGCCCCGCTCCCGGCTCCTCTTGGGCCCGCTGCTGCACCGCTCCTGCCGGCACCGGGCGTGAAAACGCCGCCGCCACACGGTCCCGGAGGCTCGGACAGGAACGGGCTCCGCCAGGCCTTCAGAGGAGCACCGGGCACCGAGCTCGCCGCAGCACGGGCTCATCAGAGGCGCTGTCCGTGCGCCTCCAGCCGGAGCAGCCCGCACGGGAAGCGGCGGCACCCGCAGCAGCCCCGGGGAACACGGGAGGCCGCCGGTCCCGGGACAGCATCACCCTCCGGGGTGCGCCGAGCCCAGCGCGCAGCACCGGCGGCGAGCTTTGTTCCGAGCGCGCACAGCGCCGGCGGACGCGGCCCCGAGCCCGCTCCTCTCCGCGGCAGCAGCCTCCGCAGCCGCCCTGCGGCGGAGATCGCCGCTCTCGGTAATTGCACAACCGCCGGTGTCTGCCGCGGGCTGGGCAGGACCCGCGCCGGCCCCTGCGGCCCGCCCCAACCCCCACCGGCGCAAGGGGCGGGCCCGCGCCCCGCCCGCGCCGGTACCTGA